ATGTGCCCTCCCTGCCCCTGCATCTCATCTCTTCCCTGTCACTTAGCTTGGTGCTCCGTAACTGGGCTGGCATTTCATTCCTGGGTCTTAAGGACACCAAGCTTGTTTTCATTCCTTGAGCCTCCTGCCTCAGAACTCTACCCCTATCTCTTCCCTCCTTTGTCGTCATAGCTCTTCCCGGATGCCACCCGTGCCATGGCTGAGTATCCATGTTATAGCATCCCGACCCCCACCCACCACTTTGCCCCATCTTGTCTTCCTCCTAGCACGTATGCTTTCTGAAATTATCCTGTTTCTTTCTTGCTCTGCCTGTCTACTTTCTATCTCTTCCAGCTCCACTCTAGGATATACACTCTGTGGAATCGGATCAAGTATTTGCATTCCTCAGTGCTGGCAGGCGAACAATCAAAAATGCTTGCAGAACTGAAGGAAGAAGGGAGGGAGGCAGAAGGGATGGAAGCATACCCCTTCCAGTGGGGGTCTACTGCCCGCCCCCCATTCTGTGACAGGGGAGACTGTGGCCCTCTTCAAATGACCTATCAGTCCGCACTCTTAGCACCATTTCAGTGAAGACGCCCCCCCTTATCCAGGAGCACCAGATTATAGCACTGATCACAGTCCTTCACCAGCGTGGGTCCTTTGCACGTGTGAAGGATGCCGGCTTACTTACTTTCTTCTCATTGCTAACACAAAATACCTGACACCCAAAATGAAAGAAGGAAAGGTTTATATTTAGCTCACTGTTTGTAGAGATTTCAGTCCATAACCAGCTGGCTCCAAGGCAGGGCTGCGTGGCTGAGGGGCAACAGTGCAAGGCAGCAGAACACAGCAAAAGCAGCCAGAGCAAAGGCAGGGGGAGCAAGCCTGTCTTCCTTACCCACCCAGCCCACTCCCCGAGTAGATGAGTAGATGCAGCACCACACCATCTCCCTGACCTCCTGCACAGGCTCAGGATGTTTACCAAGTGAGGACCTCAGCTCCCTGCTGAGTCACTTAAACTTCTGAAATTCTCAAATTGACACAGTGAACAACATCTTACAGCTGTAAGGACTGTGTCTACACCCTAGGACCCAGAGCAGCTGAGCTGACTTAGTTAAGCTTCTAGACTTCTCAAGTTGCCATAGTGCATAAACCATATCAGATGCCACCCATTTTAAGCCATGGACCTGCTGTGTCTGAAATAATAAATATTCACCATTCCTCATTTTATCAAAAACAAAGTTCCCTATTGGAGTATCAGTGCCTAAACTTAAGCATTAAAAAGCCAGCAACCATTTTTTTCTAATTCATAACTGTTATAAAACTCCGCCTGCACCGGACTGTTTCACTGCTTTTTCTTTCGTATGTGTCGGTCAAACTGCCCCCTAAGGTGCCTGCCTACCACCATCCAGTACCTGGGCCCTTTCTCTCTGCCCCTGGCTCCCTTCCTTACAAAGACTTGCAATCACCTAAACCCTTGTCACCCATAATAACGAAGCCTTTCTCAGAGAGTTAAAAGCTTAACCTTTTCTTTACATTTCTGCAAGTCTTTTCTCTCTGAATTACAAAGACCCAGCCACTTTTTGCTCAGTTTGGTCACAATAGCAACTGCTCCCATAATTACCCTTTCCTTCCAATCAGAAGGGAGGGACAGTTCATTTTTTGGGCCCCTTACAAAAGAGTGTGCTTTCTTCTAAACTATGTACCTCGGCAATTTCTCTCTTTTGTGTTGGAGTTAAAAATAAAAATGGGCTCAATTATAGCAATTTTACTGGCCCTCACAGTTCAGCCATAGTGTACGGCTTCTCCAAGAGTCGTGATTTTCTGGCTTTACATTTTTCCTAGAACTGATCTCTGTGTTATTTCCTGGGTACTCTCGCTGTCCACCACCTCCAGGTAGACGAATAATGTGTTAATATCCGTGCTCCTTCCCGATAGAAGTCACTTTGGTACAACTCAGGAGACTCCATCACTTGAAAAGGCTGTTGAATTGCGAGGGGTACAGCTTAAATAGTTCTCAGGCGGTTCCCTTAGCAACAGTTCCAGGCTGTTTCTAGTAAAGGACCCAATTTCTACCCTAAGCTAAACAGAAATTTTCCACATGTATTTTTCATAAATTGTATTAGCTAATCAGTGTGTCATTAGTCTTTGACATCTTCCAAACTATATGTCAGCACAGAGAAATGGCAAGGGTTGGATTCATCATCTGTGACCTTCCACGTCCCGAGCTGATTGTGTAAATGTAATTGCTGCGAAGCCAGTAAGGCAGTTCTAACGTGATGGGACCTGGTGATGCGTCACCTGCCAGTGGAAGGAACCACGGCTGTACTCGGCGTTTTTATCTCCTAAGAAGTCCTCCTCATCACCATGGTGATTTTGATGCTTTTTAGCCAAACAGTAAAATATCAATATTTTATCCTAGCATAATTAATAAACACCACCTGTATCGAATGTGGAAGGTGACAAGGTGGCCAAAGCCACATTTGTTCAGTCCTGAAGCCACTAAAACTCCCAGCCTAGAAAGAGCCAACATCAGACAGCGGTCAGCACTCTGCCCACCAGAGCTGGAGTTTGGGGCAAGTTCTGAAACCTGGCTTCCTCTTCGTTAAGTGGGAGTGATGATAATAGCAGCCCTCTGCCACGTGGAACAGGGAGTTAATGTTTGTAAAGCTTTTCAACAGTGCCTGCAAGCTGAGTGTGATGGTGTACAACATATATAACGCCAGCACTTGGGAGGCTGAGACAGGAAAATCCCTAGTTCAAGGTCATCTTGGACAATATAGTGAGACCTCGTCTTAAAAAAAAACCTGACCTGTATACAGGAATAACAATATAAGAATTTGTTAAACTAAATAAGCATACTACATAGGGAAGCTTAGAATATTAGGTACCTTGCAGGATAAAAATCCATAAACTGCTATTTTCAAGTTACAGAATTTTTTTCAGTCTCGTGCCTCTAAATATAAGCTTTCAAATTACACAGAAAAATTCATGCCGTAAAGTGCAAATACTAGTGCTTTTTTAATGGAACATCTACCATTCCTCCATAGAATACATAATACTGAAAAACCTATGTCTACTGCATGTATGTTTCATGGCAGATAGTTTTCTTAACATTTTAGAGTGTAAATGCACATATTATTAATCGTAAAATTTATTGGAATGTGATTTTGAAAGCTAAACCCAAAGACTTTAAATTCAATGCTTCTGTTTAGCTGTGTGTCCTTTGCCAAGTTACCTAAGCCCCCTAAGGCTTGCTTTCCACCTGAGAAATGCAGAAAGGTCGGGGGGAGGGTGCACTAGTGAAATAAATTCCTCCAGGCAAATTGCTTAGCGTACTTGCAGGATAAAAATGAAATATAGGGTCAGGGGTTTAGCTCAGCAGCACAAGTGCCTACCTGGTAAGTGTAAGGTCATGGGTTCAATCCCTGGTACCAAAAAAACTAAACAAATATTGGATGAAATAATGGATAATCAGTATGTAGGTGGCATCAGAATAGTAAATAGCATTTCATCTTTTCATTGCCAACCCAGCCCCTCCCAGGGAGCCCTGGATGCCCCATCCCTGCAGGACCTCCTGCCCCTAATCTCCCTTCAGCCCCCTGCCGTGTCGGTGTGGACTTCCCCCAAGTTTATTTGTACTTTATCTTCTCCGTTATAAGTGTGTTGAGGGCAAGAACCAACTTCCTCCCCTTTCCGGTCTCTTGTCATTTGCCTTGCGCAGGGTTCTGGACAGACAGGACGCGGCCACTGTGCATGTTTTTTTCATCAAGTAGAAGAGGAACGAAATGCAGTAGGAACTAAGCTGAGCCCATGTTTAAGAGGAAAATCTAGGAGGAATGGAAGAGATAGTCATACAAAAAAAGAAGTGTGTAAAACTGGGTGTAATGGTCCTGATCAACTTGGCCTAAATGATCATGGCAAGAAAAAAAAGAGCAGGGCAGTAACAATAGTCTCTTCTGTGGTCCTCATAATGAGGGAGTTAGGCTAACACCCAGTAAAACAGGAGGAAAAGAATCATTCAAATAAGTAGTAGCTGTGTCAGGTAAGTAGACCAACCAAACTCCAAAATTCTCACACACAATGTTCTCAGGAACTGTGTGTGTGTGTGTGTGTGTGTGTGTGTGTCCAAAGTCAACAAACACAAAATGCAACCAGATTTTATAAGGGCAACATTGGAAGCCTTCAGACAGAAGCAAATCTTTGAAGGCTGAATCTGAATTAAGAGGGGATGAGAGAGACTTAGCAGCTGGAGAGAGGAATTGGAAAATAAAAGTTAAGAGGAGAGATCGGCTGCAAGAGAGTAGAAGATGGAAGGAAGGTTCAGGGCGGGCGCTGGGAAAGCATAAAACATTCTTGAATCTGAAACAATTAGAAATGAGTCCCAGAGAGGCTCAGGTACAGCCGCTTCCTACCTGAGACATTTTCATTCCTGACTCTGCTGTTGTCATAATGAGAAAACTGAGAACTATCAGGGAATCCGAGCCAATGGTTTTCATTTTTCTTAACACCTCAGGTGTTTTGTAGAGATCGAGATGTATATTTGCATGTGTAAAAAAATGTTTTCGAGGGGCTGGGGGTTTAGCTCAGTGGCGTAAGCACCTGCCTTGCAAGCAGGCAGTCGTGAGTTCGATCCCTGGTACCGATAAAAATGGAAAAGACCAAAAAAAAAAAAAAAAAAAAAAAAAAAATGTTTTCGAACTAATCGTGGTATAAGCTGGGCACGGTGGCTGATGCGTGTAATCCCAGCACTCGGGAGACTGAGACAGGAGAATGGTTGCAGACTCGAGACCAGCCTGAACAGCAGAGAGAAAGCCCATCTCAGAAAAACAAAGAAAAACAAAACAAACAAAATAACCAATCATGATAAAATGCCATTATGCAAAGTCAGCATCTCCAGTGTTTATAATTATCACTGTTTATAGTCCCCCTATCTGGGGTCATACACACTGGAGAAAAGGAAAAGCAAGAAAAACGTGGGACGTTATAAAAAGTAAGTCATGTGTTTTATGTCTGACTAGGTTCCCCAAGATGAATGGGCAGGGTACACCCCTCGAGGGAAAGACGACGAAATTCCTTGCCGGAGGATGCGCAGTGGCAGCTACATCAAGGCCATGGGGGACGAAGACAGCGGCGACTCGGACACAAGTCCCAAGCCTTCTCCCAAAGTGGCTGCCCGGAGAGAGAGCTATCTCAAGGCCACCCAGCCGTCCCTCACAGAGCTTACCACGCTCAAGTAAGTACTTCCAGTCATCTGGTCCATGCAGCATCACCTAGAGTCAGCCTGTGTGTTTCCAGGGGTCGACGGGGCAGGAAAACATCCCACAGGATGTCCAGGAGTCGGCAAAGCCCTGGACAGTGTGTTGATTTTGATGTTGGACCTGAGTTGTTTTCCCCAGTGTCTTCCACAACAGGGGTGCCCAAGTCTGCACTGCATGCATCATAAACTGAACCCCTAACTTCCAAGAAGAAAGGTCGAAAGAATCCAGAATGGATTCTGCAAAGAAATTAGATTTCTGGCTTATATGAACTTTCAGCCCTCCCAGTGTTTTCTGTGTGTTCAGCACCTACATGCACAAAGGAACCCTGCCTTAAAGACTTGAGTTTTTCAGATAATTGGGTAACGTAACAGAGACAGTTACCATGGAGAAGCATGTAGAATATTTTCATGAACTGGTTGACTTGTGAGGGGTTTTGATTTGTATTTGAACTCGTAATGCATATTACAATTCATGAGACGTTAAAGTCGTATCTTTTGGTCTGAAAAATATAAGACATCCTTACCTGCACTTGGGCTAGTCGTAAACAGAACAGCATTTTGCAAGAATATATTGAAATTGATTCTTTTAAGCAAGACTTGACTTAAATTTTAGTATTGCCCTGGGAGTAGATCAGAGCAATAGAATGATGTGGATCTAGAGAGAAATCCCATTTGGACCTTAAAATATATATTATAGATAACTAGTACTTTAAAAGGGCTTCTGATTCCATATTCTGATTAAATGTGTGTTAGTTATCCATGTGTTTATATTATTTTATAAAATGTTCAAAAACAAAATCAACTAGAAAGACCAAAGCAGTTGAGTGAAAAACAACAAACCAGATTGTTAATCAAGAACATGGAAAATCAGCAGCCTATTCTATGATGGGAATTTACTTAAATAGCAAAGTACATTATATTTAAAGAAACCGGACATGATTTTTTTTCCCAGAGACCATATGGAACCACTCTGGGTCATTTTAATCAAGAATTACCACCACCTGGGTATAGTGGTGCAAGCCTGTATCTTAAGAGACTGAGTCAGAAGAGTTGCTACCGTTCAAGGCCAGCCTGAACTTCGTAGCAAGGCTCAGTCTCAAACTAAAATAAAATCAGAAAAGTAGCTCAGTGGTACAGCACTTGCCTACCAATCACGAGCCCCTGGGTTCAACCTCCGGTACCACAAATAATAATAATGATAACAATAATAATAATACCATCAACACATCAGCAGAGTAACCCATAAGTCCTTCTGATTCCAGTTGTCCCTGCTTTCTGTCTTTATGTCATAGTTTCCTGTCACAGCAAACTGTCAAAACTGGGGGCTTGGAAAAATAAAAATGTGTTATTCCACCACTCAGGAAACCAGAAGCCTGAGACAGAGGTGTAGACCAGGTTACACTGAACCCTGCAGAGGACAGGTCTTCCTTGCCTCTTCGGGATTCTGATGTGGTCAGTAGTGCTTGGAGCTTGCATCAGTCAGGGCTTACTAGAGAAATGGATATAACACAAGATATACAAATGCATAAGAGGTTACAAGATTGGCTTATAGTGGTCAGCCACAGAGCCAGATGGGGTGCTTGCAGAGGGGTCTGCACCCTGGAGGTTGAGGGTCCAGCCCAAGGGCTGGAGCTGGCTGCAGTGCCCCGGGCAAGTCCATGTCAGGAGGCTGATGGGTCTGTGACAGAACACTGAAGAACCTGTAGAAGGCTGAAGAGTCCACCACAAAAGCTGAGGAGTCCCAGGTGGAAGCCGAACAGTCTGTGCCAGCAGCCAGGAGACAAAATCCAAGCTAAAGGTGAAGACTGGATCTCCTCTGAAGAACTGCAAGCAGTCCCTCCTCAGGTGCCTTTCACTGTATGCAGGCTGCTCCCCTGGGGTGGGTGCAGCACTCACCATCTGCCTCCCTCTTGCACAGGCTGAGGATGTTTCAAACTAAGGACCCTGGTCCCCTGCTGAATCACTCAGTTAAACTGACCTTCTCAGATTGCCACAATGAACAGTATCCATCTTCCAATGGTAATGGCTTGGCCTCTGCGCCCCAGGATGGAGAGCTGCTAAGCTTCCAGACTTCTCAAGTTGACACAGTGTATCAACCATAACAGAGCTCCTGGCTGGCCACTGCAACCCTGTCATCCCTGGTGTCTGTGTCTCCATATGGTTTCTCTGATGACACAAGTCCCTGCACTGGGACCTTCCTAATGGCATCATCTTAACTGGTTAAATCTGTGTAGACCCTTTTACCAAATACTATGCACTGGGAGTTGCATGGACCCGACGGACATTGTTTAACCCGGCTGAAAGTGGATCACATGAATAAAAATAGCAGCAAGTCTTCTGTGTGCTTTGGCACACCTCATGTAGGCTCAGAAATTAAATCTACCCAGTCTGAAAAGAATTTGATTTGTTAAAAAGACAGTGGGCCAACATGGTATGAAATGAGAGTAGCCAAGAATCTTCTATGGACTTAAATATCTGGCTAGTAGTGATGGCCGTGGTGCCCACAGACTTCTGCTAGACCAGGCATGGTGAGCCTTTTAGAGCTTTCGATGGTAACAAGCAGCCCGCTGCAGGGCGCATGCCATAGATTTGCCGCCACTGTTTCTAAACAACACAAATGCAGGAAGCAGAATCAGGGAGACATCCGGGTTCTGCTTCCTCGTGGGAACCGGCAGAAGTTCCTGAGCTTTCATTGTCCCACTCTCCTCCCAGGGATCCTGGGAAGTTGTCACCCGTATGTCCTGGTCACATGAACCCAACGCATCCCTGGGTCTGAGTGATGATGGCTGCTGTCCACACGGGAGGAGAGCAGCGCTGGAGAGAGAGGAGGAGGAGCGGGGGAGGCAGAGGGCAGGAACAAGGCCCCAGAGCACCCTCACTCTGTGCCGTGGACTGCACTCCCCACAGCTTCTGCCATGTGGAGAATCCACTCAAAAGCTGTCTGTGTGCTTGCTTTCTCATTTGCCTTCTGCACAAGATCCCTCTGCTGTCCTGGGCTGTGCTCTACAGCTGTCATGCATTCTTTCAGCATCTAGAAGCTCTGAGAGCAAAAAAGGCTGCACACAGTCTATAAGATGTGGCAGCAAACTACAGTGAATGTTTAAATTTTTTAAAAATATTATTATAGTACAAGACACATTGCCATGAATGCCCCTCAACATGCTTCCCCTCCCCATCGCTCTGGCCGCTTTCTGCAGCAGCTCTGGAGTCCTCTTTCCTGAGTGTCTTTTGCTGTGCTGTCCTGGCTGCAACGATGTCCTGAATCCACCTAAGACATTTGCCTTTCCTGGTCACTGTGACTCTAGGAAGGAGCCAGAGGTCACACCATTGTCTTTTTACGAGCTCTCAGATGACACACAGTATCAATGCTCGCCGTATATTTTATCACCCCTTGAAAGACGTAGAGAAGTCTTCCAGCACTGCTCCCGAGAGTGGCACGCATGATGGAATACTTGAAGCGAGGGGAAGGGTTCTGAGGGAGGACTGGGGGCAGTGTCTTTACTGTCACAAACTCTTTATTTAAACATCAATAATATATGTTGATCATAGCTCATCTATTAACCTCCCATCTCTCGGTCACATATGATTATTAATGACTTCTGGCTTAATTGGATTTAATGAAATACACAAGGAGAAAAGGTGGCAAAAATTCAGACATGACATGACTCATAATCAATTTTGTCTTTTATTCCTTGATGGTGTTTTGACTAGAGATCATTATTTTTCTAGAAGTTTGAAGCATTTAGTCCCCAATGAGAAAAAAAGATACCCATATCCTGGAATTCTAGTTCCCCAAAAAAGAAAACTATATTTATGTTCCTACTTCTTTGACATTTAAGTCAATTTTTTCCTCCTTCCTCGTCAGCAATTCACAGCTTTAGGGATGATTCATAGCCATGAACCAAGATAACTAAAATTAGTCCAGAGAGACTGGGACAGCATTTTGTTTGAGGTTTCAATTCCCAATTCCACAGAAATGTTGGGGAGAAGCACCCCTAAACTTTATGTTGTTTTTCTTTTTTCTTTTTCCTTTTCTGGTTTCCCAAGGCATCTTGACAGGTTGTTTTCTGGGGGCTGGGTTTCCTCTGTTATAAATGTTAGCGATTGAGTTGTTATTAATCTTAGACTTTAATGTCACAAAATCTAAGGTCAGTCGGACATTCTGGAGTTAGCGGTCTGAAAGTGAGGCCCATTTTTGTAACTGATTCTGAAAACTATTGCTTCTGTCATTCTCCTCGCTTTTCCCACAGCCATTAGCAATGCCCTTCACCCCATATCACTAGCTTTTCCCCTTCCTTAGTCACTCACTAACAGTGGCATATCACCCCAGAGTTTAACACTTTCAAAATGAGCACGTGAATATGGAATAGTACATTTTCAGGCAAGTAGGGGACCTGCTTTACAGCCGGTTTCCTCAAAAGAAGTCACCACAGCTTGGCTTTCATGAAAATTTTTACTTGGAGTTGTATTATGTGGTATTCATTCTGGCGCTGAGACTACTACCTACTACCGTGATGAACTAAAACCAAACCCAAACTCATCTTGGACCTGCCTTCCATATATTATAGAAGCAGCTTTTTTAAAATGATAGTAAGAGAGCCGGCTTTTCAAAGGATTCTAAAGTTAAATTCCAGTATCCAGTGATCTGAGGAAAGCAACATTTTAAAATTTCTTCATGCTGATTTATCCCTCACCCTGCCACTGAGAAAAAATTTTCCCCTGAAAGAAATACTCTTTACTATTATCAGCTTTGAAATGCTCTGAAATTGGTGAGAAGGACCTCAGGCTTTTGGGGAGAGCTCTTAGCATTTTTGATAATGTGTCTCACAGAAGGCTCTGGGAGGTTTCTGTTCAATCCATAATGCCTTAAAAGCAGATAGGTAGTTAATCTTCATTGTTCTCTTGAGCCCTACACTGCTTCTCTTGTCTTTTTCTTTTTCAGTTTGTCTCAGATGAGTTGGTGAAACACTTAATAA